AAATGTTTACCGAATAAATTTAATAAAAATAATGACAAACCACTTTCATTTTTATTGTTGTCATTGTAAAAGTTTTAAATAAAAATTATTGTCATTTCGCTTTAAATAAATTTTCGATCGGACTACCGTAAGATATTCCTCCCGTGTACACCCAGTTTATTTTATTATTATTATTATTCATAAAATACTTTGCATAGGTATTTTCGTCAGATTTAACCGCACATTCAACTGAACTAACTTTTTTTACCGTAGCCCCTTGTCTACAAGTTTATCGTCTCTCGATTTAAGCTACAACGAATTAGATGGAATTCCTTTCGCGGGCTTACAGGAAGTAAAAAACCTGAAGTGGATGAATTTATATGGGTAAAATAACCTTATTAATTTTGCTATTTAGGTAAACCATTAATTTCTCTTTGATTTATTCAAGTAAATCGCAATATTTTTAATACGTAATAAGCATTTGTTTATTGTAACTAAATGCTAAAAATGCTCCACGCAATTTCAGTAATCAGATAGATTCGGTGGTCGGTGATTGGTCGCACATGAAATCATCGCTGAAGAATCTTCTCCTTGGAGAAAACGACGTGGCAGAATTGCCAGTAGTCCAGAGGGAACACAGCCTCCAGGGTGCACACGGTTTGAGACAACTGAAGTCGTTAATTTGGTTGAACTTGGACGGAAATAGAATTTCCACCGTTCACAGGCACGCTCTTCCACCATTTCTGCAAACTCTGAGTTTGTCTTACAATCAGCTGGACGCGTTTCCGTCGGAAATTCTAACTCGTGACCTGAAATGGCTCTATTTAAGAGGGAACGCAATCGAAACTTTTCCCGAACACAAACTTCAACATGTCCGATGGCTGGAGAAAATCGATTTAAGAGAAAACACGCTCACCACCATACCCTCAGCGCCATTTAATAGTTCCGTACGGATAAGAGACTTGAATCTTGCGTACAATAATATAAAATCCCTAACGGCCGAAACGTTCGCCGGACTGGAATGTCAAAGAATTATTTTATCGCACAACAAACTTGAAACGATGGATAAAGATGCTTTCGTTGGAGTGGAACAATATTTAGAATACCTTGATTTGGATTCGAACAATTTGGCTGCAATCCCAGACGCATTAGCAATACTACAATCCCTTAAATTCCTTTACCTTTCATCGAATTCCTTAAGAGACATTCCTGCTAATGTATCCTCGATGCTTTGTGCATCACTTAAAGCTATTGGTTTAAGTGGAAATAGATTCACGAAAATTCCCTCTGAAGCGCTGCAAAGTTGCATTAAATTGAATCACCTAAACATGGCGTACAATGACATAGTCGAGGTGAACGGTTCTGATTTCATAAATTGGGGGACAAACATAAACACGTTGATTTTAGGAAATAACCACATTAATCAACTCAGACCGGAATCATTTCAAGGTCTTCCTAAGATCAAAGATATTAATTTGAGTTTCAACCAAATAAGGTTCATCGATCCTTCCACGTTCGTTGGACTCGACTCTTTGGAAAACTTGGAAATGTCATTTACAGTAGATTATGAAGATGTACCTGGTGATATTTTCAAGCCACTTCTCAAATTAAAATGGTTATCGTTAGATAATAACAAATTCGTTACAATTAGCAGCAGCGCCTTCGATTTCTTAAAACATCTTAATTACCTTAATCTTGAATTCAATCGGCTCAAACTTCTACCCTCAAGTCTATTTAAGACTTCCGTTCACAAATTATTGCGAGAAGTTCGTTTTTCGTACAACGACATTTCTATATTACAAACGAACACGTTTAAGCAATTACCAAATTTAGAAGTAATTCTATTTCCCAATAATAAAATACAAACGATTCAGACAAGCAGCTTCGATGACCTCCCGAAGCTAACCCATGTTATTTTATCGAATAATTTAATAAGCAAAATTGAAACTTCTGCTTTCGCGAATCTACCTTCCTTGAGGCTACTCGAACTCCAGAATAATATACTCCGAGAAATATCTTTCAAATTTTTCTCGAATGTTTCCAGTTCATTTAATCTGAACCTCACGCACAATAGGATTACGAAATGTTTAGACGGATCGTCGTTTGTAAACGTGGGTGAGCTAAACCTAAAACATAACAGACTTGCGGCAGTTCCGGCATGTTTAAGGAACGTTAATCAGCTACGAAAACTTTTCTTGGACTTCAATAATATCACGTACTTGGGGCATAATTCCTTCATCCATTCAACCACTCTAGAACAATTGACTCTATCACAAAATGCTATAAGTAACGTGAACAAGTATGCATTTTTCGGCCTGCACACTCTCCAAATACTTGATTTATCCAATAATTTTATAAGTCACTTACATAACAACCAATTCTCGAGTCTCGCAAACTTGCGAATTATTAATTTACGACGCAATGATCTAAAGTATCTTCCAAAAGACGTCTTTATGAATACGAAACTGGAATTTTTAGACCTGGGTCAAAACCTTTTCTCAGAAATACCTACTCCCAGTATTACCGAAGTTGGTAGAAGTCTTCAGTTCTTATCAATAGAATCAAACAGTATTGAACGAATAGACAGTACCACGTTTCCTGGGACACCAAAACTGAAACAACTCCACTTGAAATCCAATAAACTAACAATACTACCCGACAACGTTTTTACAAACTTAAACGTGCTCCAACATCTCGACATCAGCAACAACAACTTAAGGACCAATTTTAAGGAACTATTCCATTTCGCCCAAAACTTGAAGGATTTAGTGCTCTCTGGAAATAACATCCGGGACGTTCCCCACTTGCCCCTCCCAAATCTTTCTAAACTGGACCTTTCTAATAACTTGATAGGCAACGTCGATGGCAGCGCTTTACAAGATTTAAAACAACTAAGACACCTGTGTCTAAGCCATAACCGTTTAACGTATATACCGTCTTCCCTTGGAACCCGGTTGCCCCGTTTGAAGACCCTGGATCTCTCATACAATCCGATAAAGGTAGAATACTTTAGGCCATCTTTTGATACCCAATCAATACATTTTGTAAAATATTGCAGGAGATCGATTCGAGTTCATTTATAGGACTGAAGAACCTCCAAGAGCTAAACATACTGGGATTAAAAAGTTTGAAGAAGTTTGATCCCGACGGCATAACTGGGATCAAATTTTTACGAAAATTGTCCATGCAAACACACAGTTACCTTAACGGATTCTCCTCGACCTTATGCAAGATCTTTAAAGATATGAAACAATTAAGGATATTGAAACTTGAAGTACAAGATACCTCGCTCAGAAATCAACTTGCGTGTCTAGCCAATCCTAAGGTGCGTCAAGTGGAAATTACCGGTAGCGCTTTGAAAACGATCGAATGGAATTCGTTCACCGCAATGGACAGTAATCCCGACATGCTTCTCAAAATTACCGAAACCAGCGTGGAGGAGTTACCTGCAGGACTATTTTCCAGCTTTGTTGCAATATCTCATTTGGAGATCGACCTCAGAAACAACCTCTTGGCATTCCTCGACCCAGACGTCTTTTATGTCAATTACACCACGTGGAAAACCGTCGGAACGACTCTAATCAAAGGTAAGTAAACTTTTTACTGTTCAGCTTCAACTAAAACTTCAAAACGTCATTAAAAATGATAAACCAAAAACCACCCTAAACCTGAATCATTCTGTACTCATGAAACTTTTATTTCTTTTTCAGGTGGCATCAGGTTCTCGGGGAATTCCTTCAAGTGTGGTTGCCATCTCCATTGGCTCGGACATTGGCTACGACGTTGGGTACGTGAAACAATGAACTCTCAAAATCTTCCCGTAGAAACTGTGACGCACATGTACGATTTTATCAACGAAGCAACGTGTTTAGATGTTGTCAATGGTGTATATGTACCAATTGTTTCTCTGCCCCCCGAAGACCTCAACTGTCAAGCTAGCGCACTCAGTGTAGCCCAAACTGTTTTCGCAAAGCCGCAAACTGTGATAACGACAACATTACTTGTCTGTCTATTCTCATTTTTTAGAAATAACTGAACGTAAAAAATGTTAAACACTTGATGGTAAAACCAAAATCAATGTACAGTTACGTGCAAACGTCCTATTCAACGTGTATTAATTTTGGTCCCTAAAAATTATGTTGGTCCTCGCGTGTTTTAACATAAAATAATTTGTAGATCGATTATATTTTAACCCCTTTGCAGTGAAAGGCCAGATAACCAAACTAAACCGAACCAAACCAAACCAAACCAAACCAAACCAAACCAAACCAAACCAAACCAAACCAAATTTACTAACTACTACTAACCTGTCCTAACCTAACCTAACCAATCAAACACGTATAAGAGTACCAACGTATCTACAAAAATATTCTGCCTTTGCACTAGACTGTATATAGATGTTCTTTGTTGATTAAATATTAATTAGTATGATTTATCGACTCCAATAATTATTTCAATCGATATGATTTGTATGAATTCCTGTGAATAAGTGTGTACTTAATGTATATTAATGCATAAAAACTCATCCTGTAAATAAAATCATTTACAATTAGTTTTCATCTCATCATCTACATCGTAACCGTGTTAAAAATACCAAGTAGTGTAATCCATTGAAATGTTACAATGTTATAGTCGAACCTTGCATTTTGAATAGCAGGATCAGAGTGAGTTTACGTAAAACTTATTTTCAACGTTGAGAAAGGAGTATAACAATTTTCTCGCGGTAATCTCGGGAGGCCTCCGAAAGAAAACCACTCATATTTTACTCTAAATGAAAAATCAATGTAACATTTCAATAGACTAATAAGTCTCTCTCTAATTGTCCAATTTTGAAACTGAATCCGATGTTTCTGATTTACGTTTTCTAAATATAGTCATAAATAATGCCGTTTATTTTTATTCGAAAAGTATTGTAAAATATCATTATGAGAATGTAAATGACATCAAACCTTTTGCCCACTTGTTTACATTTAGTCTTGTTTGCTCTTGATTTTTACCATTAACTTCAATATCGAAAGTGGAAAGAGCGTTTGAGGTTACAGTTAAATTATGAGATTTGTATTTTTTTAATAAAAACAACTTAAACCATGTTTTACTTAATTTTCATTATTCATCACCGTTACAAGGTCGTCAATGATTCAAATAAAATTTTGACAGCGTATTACACAACGGCAAGAAATTGATTTTACGAAAAGGATTCAAAAAGCTCACTAAAAGCGTTGCGCAGAAATCGAATATGAACCGAATAAAAAACTTTACTTAAACATAGTAGACTTAAATTTTGTCTATAGTAAGCGTGTTATACTTTACAATTAAGTAAGGAAGTTGTTTTGGAAATTGAATAGTCACCATAACGATGATCTAGAAATAAAGCTGGACGATTGTTGGTACTATGTTTGGAAAGTTTTGCTTAGGTAATAAGACAAAATGTCGAAAAGGACGAAAACAGACTACCGATATCATAATTTATTACGGACTTTCATAATTAGCGTTAAATTCAAAACGGAGCGCAGAGATAGCGCAAGGACCAAATAAAACAAAATTTACTTAAACATGTATACCTAGTAGACTTAAATTTTGTGTCCTTAGTAGGTAATGCTTTAAATGTCACTTCTGTAATAGTATCGCTAATCTAGTAATTAAACAGAGTAAAAAATATACCGATAGCAGGAAATTGCAAGATAAAACCATCCAAACACTTCTCCTTAGGTAAGTAAGAATATATTAATTATTAGTTTTACTTTAACTTACGTAAGTACATTTCAGTACTTTGAATTGACGTATCAAATACAGTGTAAACTCTTTATAACGTCACTCGATTTAACGACAAACCCCTTAAAACGTTGAAATTGCTTGACTTTGGTTGGTTTACATTATTTTCTATACAATATTACACTTTATATAGCGTCACGCTAACACTATTTAGCGTCAACAATGCGGCATTATAAATCATTGAGCAGTACTTTCTAAGTTGCCGAAATAGATAATAACTGCAGCTGTGTACGTTGTTGAAGAAGACGATCCTGTCCCTCCACCAAGCATCAAACAAGCACTTGATGCAGCGAAACTATTAAAAAAATACTTTTTATATAATCAAATTGATCCAGCAGTATCTCAAGATATGAGTATGATACGTAACAAAATACAATTAAAATATTGGAGCAGCAAAAAACATCAGACGAAGATAACAGACTATACGCAATGTATGAATAATAATGTTCGTGTGTAAAATGTGTACTATATTAGTAAATGCACATTATTATAGAATAGTAAAATAATATCTTTTATTTCTCTCCATTTAACGACCACTCTTTATAACGCCGAAAAATGTTCAGTCCCTTAAGTGTCGTTATATAGAGTTTACACTGTATATAAAATAGAAACTCAGGCATAAAGACGAAGATTCTCATGAGCAATCACGAAGTTGCATCTGCTTCTATTTAATTTCACAGTAGTTGTACAAATACGTAATAATAATGCGAAAGGTTAGTCTAGTATCAGATAATATATTTCCTTTATTCTAATCGTCTTTGTTGATACAACTTCCGTATTTGCACAGTCAGATGTGGAGGCGTCTCCTATACTTGTGCATAGGGAAAGGTTATAAGGAAACTTATATATGGGGATTCCAAAATTTATGTACCGAATGGCGGAACTTCTGAACTATACATCAAAGTGATATAAATACGAAAGTAAGGATGTAACACAGGGGATCTGACCAGCTCATTGTATCCACATCATTCGCATTAACACCACATTCTGAACGCTTTTAAGCCTGCCCCCGATGTAACACAGGGGATCTGACCAGCTCATTGTATCCAAAGATCGTCTTCCAATTTCTTAATTAGCCGTTCGCGTACATAAAAATAAGCGGTACTGACAAACAGTAATGTACAAAAATACTGGCATGCAAGGGAAGAAAAAGCAGGGAAAGAGCGAAAAATTAGAAGAAGTCAGGATGGAAGGAGTAGTAGGGATATGAAGCAGAAGATAGCACAGAGTCGTGTCGCCTTCAATAAAAAGAACTCAATTCTATGCTCACGAACAATTAATTTATAAATTCGAAAAAGTTTGTTAAAGGTGTATGTTTGGAGCGCAGCGCCATTCAGGTGCGAAACATGGATAGTGGACGCGGCAGAAAAGAAAAGGTTAAAAGCGTTCGAAATGATGAGGAAACCGTTGGTAGAGGTTAGAAATGAAGAGATATTAGTAATAATAAGAGAGCAGAGGACTCTATGGAAGTTAATAAGAAATAGGCGAGATAGGTTAGTAGCAGGTTCTCAGTTCTCAGGCATGAAGGTCTCGCAAGAAACATATATTAGAGGCAGAAACGGGAGTTAGAAAGGGTAGAGGTAGACCTAGACTAGATTACTGTTCGTAAATAATTAAGGATGTGGGTTGTTCTAGTTTCAGGGAAATGCAAAGATTAGCTCAGGATAGGAAATAGTGGAGGTGCGTGTCCAACCACTCTTAGGACTGACGACCTTGTGATGATAATGTTAAAGTGACTCGACCCTACATTATCCTTTGTTTTTTTTTTTATTACTCCTTCCATGCCCAATTATCTGACTTTCTTGATATCAAAAATCAGCGACATCTTAAATTTTTCAATTCCTGACTCTATATTCACTATTTTTCTACTTTTTCATCGTTTACATACTATTTGTTTTTTGTTTTACTTTTGTTGATTATCATACCATACCCTTTTGTCAATACAGCTTCAGTTCTATCGAAATCTATTTCCAATCTCTAGATGTCAATAGTGCAAATCTAATTGTAAGCACACTAATCTTTTGCCCCTATAAATCTAAAAATCCTAAAATTGACCTGTCTCTAATGATGTTTATCGCGTCCTCGTTAATAGATAAAGCAGTTTAATTTATTGAATGTATTATATCATCTCTTACTGACTTAGTGAGCACTTATTTTCTTGTTTGTAGATAATATAATGATAAATGAATGTTAAAAAATCCTTTTTGACGTGACAACGTCTTATAATTCGATGGAGCCGGCTGCACGCACGAAAAAACATGACTCATGCGGCGTTACCTCGCTCTGAGGCGTTCCATTTAAGGCTTAAAGTGGAAGCGAGAGCGCGGAATGAGCGACAAAGAGGCACAATCGGCCTCCGCGTTCGGCAGCGTTCGACATCTGTCTCTCTCCTACTTGAGTGAGCGATGCGTCCGCGGGGACAGCTGCTATACAATAATACATTTCCATTTACCTCCTTCTCTATATCCATACAAAATATCTATCAAACAAATAAAATTAAAATTTTCTTTTGAAAAATGAAACCATTCCATCAGTATTTTCTTATGACGTTGTCACGTTCAATTATCGTCAGTAAACCGACTTTACAGACAACCGATTTTTTTTTTTGTAGAAATGTATCAAGTGAAATTGTTGTTCTTCATTTCTTGCTTACCATTCAGTTATTCTATTCAGTGCTATGAGTGTAACGCTAATCGATCATCCTTTCACGACCGCTGTAACGCTCAAATCAGATATAAAGATTATAAAACTGAGATGGTTGTAAGAGATACATATTACAATTATACGTTTAGCGAAGTTGAAATAAAAAATTGCAATATAGAAGTTGGATCTTGCTACATCGTGGTATCCGTGGCGATGTACTGGTCAATGCCGAAAATTAGAACGCTACGATTTTGCGACAGTGACCCGGATATTTGTCAGAAACTTGCGAACGTTTCATTCGCAAACGATTTCCTCAGTAGAATTGAAGATTATAGTCATTATCCTCCAACAGTTCCTAAAAATTTTTCTCACTGTCAGAAGTGCAGCACAAATTACTGTAATGGTCAAGTCATCTATCCAGACAATTATAATATGTTTTATGATCAAATAGAGTCTGAAACTGGTTACGATGAATACACTACCGTTCATATGCTATTCACTGGCATCACTGGATGGGCTAGAGAACGAAAGGATAACGAAAAGGAAAGAAGACTTGAAAGAATGGTTGCAAAATGTTCAAAATTTCAAAACATTGGATGGAAGACGATGTTGTGCATGTCGTACTTGAGCACAATTTTCATTCGCATGGTATTTAATTATTAATTTGTTTATCTATCGCATATATTGTTGTTTATTATTTCAATTAAAATGGTTAAATGAGTTGAGTGTATTGTGGGACATGGTGTATACCATCGTACAGAAATTTCTAGGAAATCCTCAATGCGCATAACGACTCATACCTCTGTGACTGAACAATACTTTTCCTACATAATTACCTACCCTTAACAAGGTATTTCAACTTAAATACGTTTTTTTATTGCACCCTTTACAAAATAACGGTATTTTAAATAATTGCTTGCAAATAATAGTACTAATGCATAATTATTTCCCATTTCCTTCAGTTTAATGGTTCGTACAGGTCATAAATTGTATCATATGTTCATTTGAATCGAATCGCTCTTTCTTGTCACAGAAAATGTTAAACAAAAAGGTTTTATCTCATGCTTTACGAAGACTTGAATTAACTGGGCAAAATCCGCTTAAGACAAATTCTTTTTCGGTGGCTGTGGTAGTGATATGGATAATAATCTCAGTAATTTTTGGTATACATGTCGTCTTGTATATTCTGAACTCAGATAACATAATACACATAGGAGAAAACACTGCTAATCTTCTGGTTTGGGAAGGGGTAGGTTTTATGTTTACTCGTTGTAGTGTTAAAAAAATGTTTTGTCAAAAATTTCTCACTTTCGACATTTTTTAATTTTTAATAGTGGTTACTATTTTTTTTATTCACTATAAACTACCTCAGGTTAATGAGGAAAAAAATTTCTTTTCAATTTCCATCGAGGGTGTGACAATAGCAACAAAAAAAATTTCCCTCATTAACCTGGGGTAGTTTATAGAGGATAAAAAATTGAAAATGAATATGTATGTGAGTATATATCTATAATTACAATAGTAAATAAAATCGACGGATCTGTGACCTAGTAGGCGCGGTTGTCACCACTCGTAGCCTGGTGGTCAGAGCAGTGGTGCGTAAAGCCAAAGATCCCGGGTTCAATTCCCGGCGAGAGTGTGACAACAGCAAAAAGAAGAAAAACAAAACAAATTTTCGCTCATTAACTTGAGGTAGTCTCTAGTGGATAAAAATTTGAAAATGAATTTTCACATTAACATTTCTCACTTCACCAGTCTCTGACGAGAATTTTCTGGGCCATGGTCTAATAGGATTTTGAAATCTTCCCTACCTAACTCTTCACGAGAACTACGCGTAGTCATCGACATCCTGTTGAAAATGTCCTTTCGCAGATTCGGACGAAACGTCGTTAGACCACAGCCTAACAAAATCTGGCCAAAAATCAATTATGTCACTAATTATCCAAAAATTTTGTCTCAAAGCAATATGACGTTATTAAATAATGTACAGTCATTTCTTTATCATTGAATGACCACTTGAAATCGCACTATAATTTAAGCACCTATACAGTTGAGGCTTGATGATACTTGATAAAATTGCTTTCTAATTTTTAATGCAGATGGATTCAAACATGAAACACTAAAAGTGCTTATTAGGGTTTGAATCTCAAATAACTGTCGAAGTATACTTCATTTACTTTCTGTAGCGATGTGCACCTTCCAATGTCTTGGATGCGCGCTGGCAAAATCGTAGGTAGGGAGAAAAAAGCTCATTATACTCTCGACTCTTGTTCATTAAACATACTTTTTCATACAGTACCTACCAAAAGTTTTGTTCAATCATGAATTGTAGTGCGAGTCGAAAACAAGCGTTGAAGCCTTTAATATGTCTTCAAATATAAATAAACATCTCGTTGATATTTTCAGTGGTAAATGGTACCAATAACAGCACATCTGAGCAATGCAATTGTAGTGGATAAAGTGGTCAATTTTTCCGTGCAGTACTGTACGGATTACACGCTCCTCACCGGTTAAGAATATGGCCGAGAGTTGTCTCCTTCCTTTTCTGGCCTAGTGCTGTTCTTTTCTACCTTGCGCCGGTCAAACTGAAGGTCACATCGCTACAGAAAGTAAACGAAGTATAATTAATAATTCTTCAAGGGCTAAAACACTTCAACTAAAGGCTTTGAGCTTAAGGCTTGGAACCGTTTTGATGAAGCCCCCTCTGAATGAAATCACGAAAACTATTACTCCAACACCAGCTTTCATGCAAAAAATAATAATTATTTAGTTATAAAAAATAATTTCGAATTGAATGTTTCTAAATTAATTACAGTAAAATGCGCTCTGATACTGAAGCAAAATATTAACGTAATTCTTTACAACTTTACAATTCATAAACGATTAAGTACAAAGGTCAATCTTTTCCTAAAATTTCTTTAGTAAAGAAGAATAAGTACATAAATACATAATGAATTAAAAAAATTCTTGAAACTATCTTTTGTAAAACCTAAGAATTCTAACAAAGAATTTTTTAGGCAGCTTTTAAACTATTTAACATTATTTACCAAAGGAAATCGTTAACTGGTGCGTTGAACCGTTTGGAAAATTTTTGGGAATTAGATAAATTTGGAAATTCTTGGTATCAAGCGATGAACGAATCATTTTCTCTATTTCTTAAGCTTTGTTACGTCTACGACATTTTATATTTTGCTACTGCTGCATTTTATTCTGCTATTGTTCTTGGTCAAGGAAAGTTTCCCGGTATGTCGAAGATCAATGCTATAACTAACTTCCTTAATAGATAATTAAAATACAATGTCGATTTTAGTAGGGATCTATAATGGAATCACAGACTTCCAGGCACCATTTGTTTTCGAAATTGTTTATACTCTACAGGTGTTGTATATCTTTTTCACACTTACGTTCATGGCAGGCTACGACCTTCTTTTGTTCGTCTTGGCAGGACACGCTTACTGCGAATTTCGCATGTTAAAAAAGGCCTTCCAAGATCTCCCGTTCGAAAAAGGAAGTAAGGAAGAAGTAACCAGCAAGTTCAATGAATATGTTGACCACCACAATGAAGTTATACAGTACGATAATTAATCATTTATTTATAGCTGAAGTGAATAGGTACTAACGACGTGGTAGACGAGGGGTACGAAAAATAGTGATAAACAAAATTGGCCTTGGACTTACAACAATGACCAACGAAACCAAGACCCAACTTTCAAGACTAAACGAAAAATTATTACATCCGGTGGATTTACTTATGATATAAACTATTATTAATATATTCTTCTTTTGAAAGAAAACATTTTTAGTATTTGCAATTTTCAGATTCCTTTACTAGATTTTAACATTAAATAAAAAAAAGAAAAAAATTAACTACTGTTTTACAAAAGGGATCTACAAGAATGTCTGCGAAGGAAGTTCTTTTTATGTCTGGATAACCAATGGTTAAAATATAGAGAAAAACTAATTCTTTTTGGATATTTGTAAGACAAGATGTTAAATATACTTAAAGATGTAGGAATAAGTTACAAAGATAGAAGAGTGATAATTAGTTTGTATAAAGAGCAACAAACAGTTATAGAGCTAGGGTTGCAACGTAGAGAAGTAAATATTAGGAAGGGAGTCAGGCAGGGATGCATACTGTCACCGCTACTTTTTAATTTATACATCGCGATCAATACCATTAAAAACAGTACAACTGTAGGGATAGATATACAGGGCAAAGAATTAGTATGCTTAGATTTGCAGATGATATAGCAGTATTAGCATCTGGGTAGGAAGAGTTAGAGATAGATTTAAATAAAATGGAAGTGATAGGTATTGACAAAACAGTATTGTAGAGAAGTAAATAAAGGTATAACAAAAATAGTGGTAGGTAAGCAAGGGAAGACAAAGTAGGGAAAGAGCGGATATAAAGATAGGAGACGAAAAATTAGAAGGAGTGACTGATTTTAGGTATCTAGGAAGTTAGATAAGTCAGAACGGAAGAAGTAGTAGGGATATAAAGCAGAGGATAGAGCAGGGTCGAGTCACCCTCAATAAAAAGATGTCACTTCTATGCTCGCGAACAGTTAATTTAGAAATTCGATAAACGTTGTTAAAGGTGTATGTTTGGAGCACGGCGCTGTACGGGTGCGAAGCGAAGAAAAGGTTAAAAGCGTTCGAAATGTGGTGTTCCAGGCGAATGATGAAGATACCGTGGATAGAGAAGGTTAAAAATGAAGAGATATAAGAAAGAATAGGAGAACAAAGAAGATTATGGAAGTCAACAAGAAATAGGTGAAATAGGTTGGTAGGACACCTTCTCTGTCATGAAGGTCCAGTCAGAGACATATTAGTGACAGAAACAAGAGTTAGGAGGGGTAGAGGTAGACCTAGATTAGATTACTGTTCGCTAAGAATGTCAGTCGTTCTAGTTTTAAGGAAATGCGAAGATTAGGTCAAGATAGGAAAGAGTGGAGGTGAGTGTCCAACCAGTCTTAGGACTGACGACCTTATTATGATGATTTTTTATTTCTTTAAAGTACATTGTACTATTTTGTTCTCTAATTGGTCAATTTATACATCAGAAAAAGGATCAATTTATACATTAGAGGAAAGGTAACTTTTATAATTTTCATAACTGTTAAAACTATCGACACTATTTTCTTTAGTCATGTAATCTTTCTATTTCTTTAGTCAATTATTGTGTCGGTAAGTAACAAAATTTGTGCTTGGAACAATTATTTAAAAAAACGTAAGTATCAGATTAAATAAATAAGATTAAGACCAAGACCGAGCTATATCAGCAAGATCAATACAAAGAACAGAAGTATTTGAGTAAGACCAATGCTAAGACCGAATAAGTAAGACCAAGACCAATACCAAGACTGGGGCAGTCATGGTCTTAGTCTTGCTTTGCCCATCACTAACCAAAAGTTCCATCCGCCGCAGCTATATCACAGTGTCTTTTCCGGTATTACAGCTACGTCATTAGACTAATTTAGAGAAGATGTTCACTTCAGTTGTGTATAACGATACGCACACCTTTTTAGATATTTTTCTCATACGTACTTATATATATATTTAAATTGTATGTTTCAGGTTCGTTGAAGAATTGAACAATGCTTATTCAATATTTTTCTTAAACCACTATTTTCTAACTGCTTTGGCAGTTTGTATGGCACTTCTGGTAATAAATATTACTATGTAAGGAAATACGTTTGCATTTACTATTCTTATCCTAAGAATACCAAAATGTACTATTTTGTACAAAAAATTGTTTTTAAAATAATTTTTGAAATGGTAAAATACTTGATCAAATCAAAAATTAGGTTAAGTTAGGTTTGATTTCAAGAATTAACGAATAAATTGTAATAAACTTACATTTACATAGATAATTCATAATATCTACTTATTATAATAATTAATATTATTTCAGTTCTCCGTTTCAACCCCAATTTTTCATAAAATTTTTACTATATGTTCTATGTTGGTATCTACAAATGGCAATGTATTGTGTAATCGGCACTTTAGTTACTTCTGAGGTAATTTCTATGTAATGGAATCAATTTCGGAAGGCGAAGTTCATCATAGGGTGCAGACGCTGTTCGTACATGACGTCATTTTCAAGGCCCTATTTAGGACTGAGGTACTACTTGTGAAAACCGAAGTACAAGCGCATGTGCGTCTCTTGTAGTATTTCTCAGCCTAAATACGCACCTTATGTCTACGAATGACGTCCTAATTATAAATGATGTATTATAAGAGACCAACTTTATTATCTTGGTTAATAAATCTTTCCACTTGAAAATAACCCCCTTATATATTTTAAATATATACCCCAAAAAATAAATAAGTAATAATTGTTTAGGCACTCATTGACTAATATAATAAGGTGATGTCTCAGAATCTTACAATTTGCCTATAGAATAAAAAAAACACATTTAGTTTAAAGCTTGATTAGAGAGTTATTCGCCTTCCTAAATTGACCCAACTATCTTTAAACAACATTATGCCTATAGTTGATACACATATTTATAATTAATTACCAATTTAGCGATGGTATGGGTGCTACAATACTTTATAATTATTGTTTCCTTTTTAACCGACACTTAATAAACAGAAATAGCAAGAGATTTGTCTAAAATTAATTACAGGGACAATCGGTAGCTGAAGGGATATACGACTCTGATTGGGTAAAGGAGTTTTATCCAGAATTACGTAAAGGAATTGTTTTGGTAATTGAAAGATCGCAAGAAAAAGTGGAAATGCCAATTGGAGGATTGCTGGTATTAAATTTGGAGAGTTTCGCTCAGGTGATACGAAAAAATGTCGAAAAGTATATAGGTATTACGTTTACAAACCTCTCGCTTTTAGATAGTAAAGATGACATACTCTTTCTTCATGTTAATTAAGAGTGTTTTAAAAAAATAAATCAAAAGTATTTTTCTCAAGATATAGCAAAATTAAAGTAAAATGGATCACTTAGCCAAAGAATCAGCACCCGATATACTTTAGATTCTAGAAAATATTTTAATGTTTTAGATAGGTCAACTGTTTTGTTTGGTTTGTGTATTTTTTCCAATTGATTTTGTAGTTTTGTAAACCTTTTTCCTAACTCTTCGCCCAATATAAACAAATATTTCCATATCTACTTTTTTTCTAAACATTGTATTACTATTACATTTTTATAATTCAATGATTTTAAATAATTATCATGTCAGTAAATGTTGTTTAATTTTCTGTAAATTTCATTGCCCGGATTCAAGACAGATGAACCTATAAAATATTAATACTATAAAATATGAAACACTTGACATTTAATAGAGGTTAATATNTGCAAATACATATTGTTCTTCTACCTTCTGCAATAACAAAATAAGAAGTAACAAAAAAGACACTAAAATATAAAGTAAAGTTTTTTTTTAAAAGTGTAAATGTTGTTTAATTTTCTGTAAATTTCATTGCCCGGATTCAAGACAGATGAACCTATAAAATATTAATACTATAAAATATGAAACACTTGACATTTAATAGAGGTTAATATCAAATATTAATGTGAAAATTAATTTTAATTTTCTCCCACTACAAACTACCTCAAATTAATGAGGGAAAAATTTGTTGCTGTTGTCACACCCTTGCCGGGAATCGAACCCGGGACCTTTGGCTTCACGCACCAATGCTCCGACCACTAGGCTACAAGAGGTGACGACGACAAATCGTACTTTTTAGGTCACAGATCTGTCGAACTAGCTTAGTGGTCAGAACATTGGTGCGTAAAGCCAAAGGTCTCGGGTTCGATTCCCGGCAACAGTAACAAATTTTTCCCGTATTAATTTGAGGTAGTTTGTAGTGGGAGAAAATTAAAATGAATTTTCACATTACTATCCTACTCAAACCAGCTTTACAAAACCGTCGTTATATTCAAAAAAGATTTTTCTTCGCTTTACTTTACCGTCAAAATAACTAATTCATAATTTTAAAAAGAAGGCACAATGGCTACCAAGTTTTTATGAACACAATTTCATAACATTAGGTCGCTACTATAGGAACAACCAGTATTAAAAGAAGATATAAAGACGTAACTTGAAATTATTCTGATTATAAATTCCAAAATTAACGAGTGGAGAAATTTAAGGTGATAATAAAGCAAACAAACAAACGTTGCACTAAACATTCTGATTTCTATAATGTAAGTACCCAAAAAAATATTTCATGTTTCCTGTTATAAAAACAAAATTTGAAGTAAAAAATGTGTTTCCTACTTTTAAGACCAATAAAAAGGAAATGACACATGCTAACGGAAGTTAGTGCCACTTTTATCAGTCTTTTTTTATTAATTTCAGTTAAAATAGATGCATGGTCCGCAAGCAAGTCCTATAAAAATGAAAATTACCTTTTGTTCAGGGAAAAGCTGTAGAAATATTCATATTCCAACAGATACAAAACAATAATAAAAATTGTTGAAAGAGAAATAAACGTAGCGCTCCATTCTTCTGCTAGAGTCACCACTGTTTTTAGAGGTAATAAAGAATCTCATGGGCCTTGGCCTTGGGTTGCGCAGTAACAGCGGCGAACTACGTTGGAAACCTTAACAATACACAATCGTATTAAGCAAAAGTCATTTTCCAAAGACACTTTGCTTAATTGCAATCTAATTTACATCAGGAAAAATCATTTGGAATTCTCCTCTCTCGAAAAGTTCGTACGTTAAACAAACCCAAAAAATACTGCTGCTCTATCATTAT